GCAACGGTGAAGATCTTTATTCATAATCACTATTAGTACTGAACAAAACTTATCCTGAATTTTTCAAATGAAGTATTTAAAACATTTTTTTAAGAGAAAAAGGCATAAGGAAATAAATTGTTTGTTTTTGTTTTTTGTTTGCTTTGTTTTTGTAAATGTAGTATACCAACTAAAGCTCTGCTTTTCTATTATTGGAAACAGGCTTCTAAGTATGTCATTCCTTGGTAAGCATCAATGGTTAATGGATGGGTTTTCACTCATGAAAATAATGTAAATGATTAGCTTTATCTTGATACTCTTGACCTAATCAAAGGGAAGGTGTACTCATAAGGGATGTAATTATTTTGCAATCTAATGGGGGTGGGGGGAATCTACTTAAAACAATTTTTAAAAATGATGAAATCACAGATAAAATATTTTTCTACAATTCTATACAATCATACTTTATACTAGTTTTCTCCGCATGGCATGTAAGTGAGTCTAAGGTACAGTAGCAGGAATTCAACTGTATTGTACCTTTTGGCAGACAATTAAAATAGCATCTTTCAGATGCTTGGCACTGCTGTCATAGAATTGAATTGCTAGTAAAAAGGTTAAATAGTACTGAATACTTAAATGATTGTTTTATTCAGAGTATGATCTAGGAAATTTTCTAATCATACTATTAATGTGTAATCTAAACTGTTCCAGATGTAACCATGAACAGTCCTGGAAAGATATCATTGCTTGCATCCCTGTCAAGTGGCAGGTTTTGTAGTCTCCAAAGGAAATTGAAATTTATACAATGAATAAATTTTCAAACATATGAAAACAAATGTCTGTTTTATTGGGTTTGATTGATTTTTCCAATCACACTTAAAAAAAAAAAAAAAAAAAAAAAAAAAAACAGACTGCCATGTGGTTCCTACCTCAACTGTAATTAACTTTGCTCCATATAAAATATGCATTCCCAGCCAGAAATGACTTATTAAATTAATTTCTAAACTAATGAGGAGTTTGTTTTTTTTCTGAGCTTAATATGCAGGTGTTGTTTTATCAGTAAGACATTAAAGCTTTATGCCATTACTTTGTTGCATATTTAATCATCTTGACCTTTATTAGTATAGTCAGAGACCTGATGAAAAAAATTAGGCCTAGTATAAGGTCTCAATCACATTTAACTCTATTGAAAACGCTATATATTTGTGAGGTGTCCAGACCAAAAGATGCTAATACTAAAATTTGGTGTCACTTAGTCTGTAATCCTGCAACTTCTTGCATGTGGACAAACTGCTGCAAATGTATAGAGCTCCATTGAATAACTGGGGCTCTGTGCAGATGAAGTTAACCATCTGTACACAAGCAGATGAAGGATAGGAGTCATAAATTGTAGACTCCAAAGGGCAGGGACCTTGTCTTTTCATCTGCTATAAAGTGTCATATGTATATGTGGTGCTAAATAAATAATTAGGATTGCTGCATAAGTTAAAAACTCTTATTTTGTCACACATTGACATTAGATACACATTTGATAAATATCGAGTCTTATTTGCAATGAGCCTTTTGAAATTCGGAAAGCAAGACAAGTTTTGAAAATTAAAATATACATATTAGTGAGAAATGTAATAGGAAACATTCCACTGATCCAGTCAAATTCACTCTTTACAAGTCAAAAGGCATTGCAAACTCAAGTTGTGATTCTGAAATTATTGTATCGTAATCCTCTTCAGGCTTGCAACACAGAAAAACAAGAATTGTCAGTCAACACAAAAGATATGAAATGTTTATATATAATTTTAGATAAAATAGCAGGAATAACAATTATGATGGGTAATACATCTCCGAACAAAAGTGTATTCCTCAATAGTCTTGTTAAATTCACCAAGAGGAGAAGCCGAATAGAGCGTCAAGATATTTCACCAAGCTACCAGAATCAACAGGAAGACAGTTTGCCTTTGCAACAGCTGGGAAAAATAGTGATTTCTGAGGGTAGGGGAATATTGTATGTAAAATTTAAAAGTGGCAATTTAAAAAAAAAAAGTTATCTTGTGTGCATATGAACCCAGTCTGCACCTAACCAACATGAAAAATATAAATTGAATTTTAATTCTCTTTAATTTTCTCCCATTTTTATAATATTTCTTTAAAACAACATAAAGGCTTAACATTCCTGACAAAAAAACAAAATTCTGTCACAACCTTAACTATGGTGTTGTTACTATTCAACCCTAATATAGCCTGTAATTTTCTAAAAAGATAAGGTTTGTGAAAGGACCTGTATAAATCAAAAAATGACTTACATTTAGGGCAAGATTGAGACTTTCCTCGGCATGAGAAAGGAGTGGTGTGTAGTTTCACTGTCCCAGGAGTAGCCCAGGAAAGGAACTGTAATTTTGAAAGGTACAATGATGTAAACTGCTTCAGCTTTTAATAACTTTCTCTGTATGTGCCTTTTAAAATACTCTATGCCAGTGTTCTCCTGCAGCCTCTTGCAACTCTGAGGACGGGGCCCTTTCTTCCCAGGTGTGAGGACCACCTATGACTCACCTGACTTGCTTAAATTGCCGAGAAGAGGAAGGGAAGAAAGATTGTAGAACAAATACAGAAGGAACTATAAAAAGAAATGAAAATACCTGGATTCCTGTGCTAAAGCTGGTCACAGATATTAAAGAATACTACAGGCTATTGTACATGTGCATTATATAATCAGTGTGGTTTACAATCAAATTGTAAAGCAAGTTTTAAACAATCTTAGATTCCCATGTGTAGCAGCCTTTAATTTATTTGTATCATTCTTATATATTCATTTATCATGCAGCTCTATTACAATATTAAATTTCTTTGAGACATAGAAAGTGATTGCTTAATTACAGAGTGTAATGTAATAGTAATACATGCAAAAATGGCAGAGTCAAAGGCAACCATTCAACCTGATCTTCCACATTTCCTCATTCTTGAATGTAACCATGCATCTTTAATATTCTTAATGTAATTCTTTAAATGGTTAAATTCTTTAGATTTTAGTCATGGTTTTTGCCAACAAAGAGAGACAGAAAAGATAATCCTAGAAGCAGTTTGTCAAAGATGATAAATCACATATTAAGAAATAGAGGAAGCAGAACAGGAAGGACAGGGGGAGAATGCAGATTAAATCCCGGTTGTTAGATTTCTCTGTGGGAGTGTCCTGGTGTTTATTAAAGGCTCTAACACCAAAGCTGTGTCAAAGGAAAAGCAAGGGAATCCAAAACAATTCTCAAAGGTTCCCATAGGACAGAAAGCATTTGATCTTGGGGAAGCAATTATCTTGGTCTTTGATTAGATATGTATCTTCTGGGCATTTATCACAATGATTTGTCCTGTTAGTATCCAGGAAGGAGCAAATAAGGTCTTGGTATCTCTAACATGCCATAAATGTTTCTCACCAGATGCTTTTAAACCAATATCCAAGAAAATGAAATGACCCATTTAGTAGACCAAATGACCTGAATTCTCACTTATATTAAGATCTCTTTATACCAGACTAGCAATGTAAAGGAGCCTTTTCCTGACAGTTTATCTAGTCTATCAATCAACTAGCTAAATGGAATGTAATAAATTAGGCCCCAATCCTTTAAAGACTTAAACTTGTATGTAACTTAACTCATAGAAATCAAGGGCATTATGCATTTGAAAAAAAGTTACCCGTACATAATTTGCTGTAGGATCATGGATTTATATTTTAAGCAGAAGTTCTGGTGATCCTAGCCTGAGAAAGATTTAATAGCAAGATTTTTAATATCTAATTTTACAGTTTCATTCCCTATAGAAATACCATCCCTGCTTTCCCTCAGAGAGCCCCCCCCCCACACACACACACACTCCATAAAGAGATCCCAATTATACAAGACAGTATGGGACCCATCCTCCCCGATTCAATGGCACATTGCAAGTGCTACATACGAAAGGGAAGGCCACAGTTTAGAGCTGAGTACTAGGAGGTAGGAGCATATCTGGTTCATTGGGTGGATGGGCTGGATCTGCTGTCCTTTTTTCCATTTGCCACCCAGGGCCCTTTCCATTTTAGTATTGGATACTGCAGATCACATAATTTTACTTGAAATATGAATTTTAGTTGGTTGGTGCTGGGCAGTCATGATTACTGATCACAATGTGGTTAGCCCCCTCAGGTATTTAAAAAGTATGTCAGGCTAGGGTTACTATACGTCCGGGTTTTCACGGACATGACCTCATTTTTGGTCCACCAATCTCCATCTGGGCACATTTTTAAAATATTAGCAACTGTCTGGGATTTTTCCTCCATGGGGGACTTACAGCTGGAGTCGCAGCCTCTCCATGCAGGGGGTGACAGCTGGAGTTGCAGCCTCCCTGCCACATACCCTATCAGCTTCCCCCTTCCCCAGCTCCCCATCCTGCTCCTCTAACAGTGTCCTCTTTTGGGGAACCTGAAATATGGTTGCTTTATGTCAGGACCCTCCCAAAAATAAGATTAGCTAAAAATCATGAGATGGTAACAAAATAATAAATGGTAGATGGCTTGCGTTTGCCTTCTGGGTTTTGAGTCTTTTAGGTACATTGCTGGCCTCACGTTTTCCAGCTTTCCACCCCAACCAGGAGGCTAGACGCTTTTCTTTAAGGACAGGGCAGAAGCTCACATTACAGTGGGACATTAAGAAAAACAGCAAATATCGGGGCTCGCACAGGAAAATCCTGAGCGCCGGTGACCCCGTCGCTGCTCCAGCGGACCCTGCGCAGCGGGCTAGGACCGGGGCTGTCACGTGCAAACACGCGCCGCTGGCCCCCTGCGCTCGTGTCCGGCTCTGCCGTCCGGACCTTCTCGCAAGCTTCCATTCCCACACAAGCCACCCCCACGCATGCGCATTTGGGACCGGGCGGGGCTTTGAGCCGTGAGTAATGAGCAATGAAAGCCGCCGGCGGCCAGGGGGCGCTGGAGCGCGAGTCGGGCCGCACGCAAGCCGCAGAGAGCTGTAGCCTCGGTTGCCTGTTGCGGTCGCTGTCGCAGCCGTGTAAGGCTCTGCCTGTCGCGTGACTCTCCAAGCCCAACGGCCGCCGCGAGAGACGAGTCGCTGCCCGCGCGCCGCACGCAGGAACCCTCCGCCCGACCGGGAGCAGCAGCGCGCAGACACCCCCCCGCAGTGAGGAGCGGCCGGCGCCATGCCCAAGAATAAAGGTGAGGCCTCCTCAGGCCGGCCCCTGCCGTACGGGCGGCGCCAGCCGGGCCTGGGGCTGGAGCGGCCTGTGCTCGGGGCGGCGCCGGGAGCCTCTCCTCGCAGGGCAGGCTGGGAGCGGGGCCGGAGCTCGCTGGGCGGGGGTGCGGCGGCTCCAGGAGCGCGAGGGTCCGCGGGCTCCCGGGGGGAGCGAGGCCGGAGCTCATCTCGCCGCCTCACGTGGGGGATCCGGGCAGGGCGGTCACAGCCCTTGCGGCCTGGCCTGGCCTCCTGCCGCGTAGCGCCGTGTAGCGAGCCCGGTCACGGGCACCTTCCCCACCCCTCACACAGTGGCTGGGACCCGGGTTCACGGCTCCGCGCAGCCACTGCCCCGCGGCGTCCTCGCTGGCTGACGCGGGGTCCCTCCCGCCGGGCTGCTCTCAGGCCCGTGGCCCGACGTGCGCGGAGTGTGTGAGTGGGGCTCAATGCGCGACGGGTCTGGCAGGAAGGGCGGGGGGTGCAGGGCCGTAGGCTACAGCTGAGTCGAGAAGCAGAAAAAGACTCGTGTAGAGAGAGAGAGCCTCGGACTCTGGGAGTAAGTGTGTTCCCCTGTCTGGCAAAACTCAGCCAGCATTTAAGTGTCAACTGTTGCTATGCGCCGCTCCCTAACAGTAGCATTTGTTCTTCTAGTACATACCGATCTTCTCAGGGGCACCAGCAGCCACCGCTGTTTCCATATGGTAGAAACCTTAACAAGTGTTGTTAACATGTGACCCCTCCCCGGTTTTTTTCCTGTGCTGGTGTGAAAGAGGAAAGGAGAGAAAGGAAGCAGTTTTTTGGAGGCAGGATTTACAAAACCTGCAAGCTGTTCTTGCTGATCTTTCAACAAGAAAACGAATCCTGTTGCCAGAAGCTTGTTGAAATGCTGCTGTTTAGAAGGAAAGCATGAATTTGAAAATCACATGTCCATCTGGATATTTGCACCTACTATTGCTAAAGGAAATCCCTAAAATTATTTTTCTTTAGTTTTTCAAATGTCTGTTTGTTGAACTTTATCTTTTGTGTACTGTAGTCACTTTCATGTTTTTGTTGAGTAGGTTACACTTTTCTGTCTTCATTATTTGCATAATGACATCAGTCACTGATTTGGGGTGGGGAGCTCACATGGATGCTTCCCCAGTCCTTGCAAGAATGTGTTCACCAGTAGCAGCAGCAGTACAACTGAAACTGAAGATTCATCGCAGAGCCCCTTTGTAGTTTCTCTCTTTCCTGAACAGTCATGAAGGTTGATTAACTGAGGTCCACCAGGATGCAATCAATTGCATGTTCAGGGGTGATGGTGTTAAATGCTCTTTTGAAGGCTTCTGTTACCTAATTTTCAAAGTGAGTTTAAATAGTCGATAGTTACTACTATGTGATCTTTTAATTGATCCCTTGTTTGACAATGGTAAAATAAGAACAAAGATGAGGTAATTTGATAGTAAATATTGCTGAAATTGATCCAAAGAAACACAAAACACCTCCAGACTTTAAATAAAATAACAAGATGGCTTTAGCATACTATCATTGAGGTGAGATTGAGGGATGGGTGGTGCTCTTGAGATGTGATTCAGTTTCTCCTACATGTTCTTTTGTGGTGTGTGGCTGAAGAATTTATATGCACATGAATTTCTTCTGTGTCTGTTTCATGTGGAATTTTTTTCTTGTATCCTAGCCCTGCCACTTCAGCTCAGAATTAGGAAGGGTTAGAACAGAGATGAGATAATCAAACTGTTGCTGAAGAGAATAGGTTTTTAAGTCTTTCTTGTAGCTTATGCTGGACTTCTAAGAGTTCAAAGGAATACTACTTTTCTCATCACATTTATTAGGAACATGAAAATTAAAAATTTGTCTCTTGCAGTTTTGACTTTAGGCAGCCTCTTCATCCTTTTTGAAAGAACCTTGAAATCATCATGGTATAGTGCTTTAAGAAGCAAGATCAGTTTTATCACAGTCCTAGATATAGTGCTTTAAAGCTGCAGTAGTGAAATTAGATTTCCATAGGTCTAACAAATTATTGCTATTTTATCTTTCCAATACATGATTTTATATAGATTTCTAAATTGCATGTAGTGATTTATTTTATTTTCAATTTAGGTAAGGGAGGTAAAAACAGACGACGAGGTAAGAATGAGAATGAATCGGAGAAGAGAGAATTAGTGTTCAAGGAGGATGGACAAGGTGAGATTTCAAATTGTAATTGTCACTATATGTTTTCAGTCAAATATGGTAGCTACAATACTTTGAAGGTTTCTACACAAGGGATAATTGGGCTGTGTATAGGTTTCATTTGGATGTTTGAAAACTACAAAAGTACTTTGATGTGATGGAATGGAGCATCTTCATCTTGGGAATATATTTAGCAAAAGACAAATTGAATGGGAGTGAAGATATATCCACTTCACTTCCCATTTATTAATATCACCTAAGAAATAAGTTCAGTTCTTTGCTCCTCAAGCAGTTTGCGCTGCTGTGTGATAAAAAAGGTTACATTAGTTCCTATGTGTAAATTGTTCCTAGTTTTTTTTTCTAGAGATCACCTCTGGCTCACGCAGTGACATCACTGTGCTATAGGGAGCAACGTTCAACCGTCCTCTGCCAGAGGCACCATGATGAATGAATGACTGTCTTATGGGGAAACCCATAAGATCGTGAATGGGTAGAGGAGGAGTGTAGTAAAATGGTGAGCATATCTGAGTGTTCACCTAGCAGTCAGATAGCTATTTGGCTTGGTAACCAAATGAAATTCAGGCAAAAGCTTTGCTTAAAATTTCCCCAATGGCTAAAACACAAATTGACTTAGAGTCTTGTAGCTCTTGTGATGCGCCTCCTTGACTTGCAACACTCATAGGCTTTTCAATTGCATCACATTGTGTGGTAGTCATACTAAGAAAATTGAGCTGATTTATTTTATGCACCTGTCAGTCTATCAACCACATACAAAAAGGAAAATAAGTCTCCCTAGGAAAATCTCCCCAACTCTAGAACAAATTCCATCTATCCAGTTGAACACAGCTCTCCAGTGGTGATATTCCAATGTGTTAAGCATCTGTACTCTAACCCATGTTAAGGAGATATTTTAGTGTACTAGAGCAGGGCTTGAAATACAACTTTTGGGAGTGGATTTTCCCTAGTGAGTGTGGGTGTCTAGGGCATTGATCTTTATGCTGTTTTTGACATAATATCCCTCAAAGATAATCTTCTACATGTGAAATGCAGTGTGTTTTCTGGAGCCTGTGGTCCGCTCCATTGTCCCTGCTAGTCTTCGTCACTTTAAGAAGCAGTGGAATGAAACTGGTTTGTTTACTGGTGGATGGGAAACTTGAAAAACAAATGCTAGTGGGCCACTGTGAATCATGTCATTTTCATGCAGCTGCTTATGTAAACTATGAGCAACAGCAGATGTAGGTCCTGAACCTACATGCAGGAGAAGAGGACCCAACTGCAGTCTGAGGGGGAGTAGTTGCAACCAGATTTTAGCATTGTCCAAGAGACTGGAAGTGTAGTCAAGTAGCAGAGGACCTTCCCATGGGGAAAGGAGCTAGCATAAGATCCTTCTCCCGTCTAACAAGCAGGTGCTAGGGGCTTTGCATTTCTCTGTTGAAGGCTAATATGTATGAAAGGAGAGCTTTTCAGTGTGATCTAGGGACAGCATCCTTTTAAGGACAGTAGGACCCCCTGAAGATGGAATTCAGAATACACCAAAAGAGGGGAGAAGAATATGCTGTGCTCTCCTGTCCCCAAATGATCTGCTTGTTTTTGTAATCTTTCTGTAGAGGTGGAGAGGGGTGGTGATGGATCCACAAATTGTTGTCATGTGTAAAATGAGCGCACTTGATCTGGAAGTCAGAGATAATAAATGTAGGGACTTGTATATCTTTTAAAAATATTCTGGGGAAAAAAATAAAGCATGCATAAATGTAAGAGGGGTTCAGTATAGAAAACATGTAGTCACTTTAGATACCAACAGTAACATAAAGACTTTTTAAAGTGTGGTTATGGCTTATTTAAGCGCATATCAATTCAAATTTGCATTTGTTCCAACAATAAAACTTTAACATTTATAATATCCATAAAGTTGCAGTGATGAAAACAAAAAATCTTTGTAACATTGTGATTTTTGGAATATATCCACACTGAAAATATTGGTCAACATGGCAAGCGGTGGTCTCTCCACATGAGCAAGCTAACTGTTGCCTACAAAAAATTTGACATCAAAGCAAAGGAATTTTGAGAAGGGATCTGAAAATGGAAAATGAGGCAGCTTTGTGGATGTTTATGTGGAACACCTCCCAAGCGTGTGTGGCTACACAGGATAAGGCATGAAGGTGCTTCTTTGAAAGGTGAACAAGTGGCGGTGAAGGCTAGCATAATGGACCAATCAGTGAGCATCAACAGCTTGATAATAAATCAGAGGTGTTAGGTAGAGTGGGGATTGACTACGAAGAGCCTTGAAAGTGAATACTAGGTGCTCTTGCATTTGTCAAAACCAGAGAAAGCTATTAAAGTAATCAAGACTTTGCCAGAGCTACATTGTTTATAGCCCCATTGGCTGGGTGGGCTGCTGAACCTGTCTGTCAGCATTACACCCCGCTGTTTCCTTCCATAGTCAGTGGAAGTGGGGCTGGGCTTGGTGCAAGAGACCTCTTTAGTGCCAGGAATTTCTTCAGCACCCTTGCTGTTGGTGCCACCTGTGTTACCAGGGTGGCAATCATTTCCCTCCACTTGGGTACCATCAGTCATCCTGGTACTGCTGCTGACTTTGGGGTCAGCACTTCTTCCAGCACCGGAAATGATAGAGGCATATTTGGCACTGCTAATATAGTTTCCACTGTCAGTGCCAGTTCCCAATTCGTTCTGGGCTATGAATGAGTCAGACCAGTTGCTCCCACCCTCAAGGCTGGCTCCATCTTCATCCCCTGAAGCCCAGGACTCCTTGGCATCCAGGTTAGGATCTTCCTCCTCTTGCTTTCCATCACCTGACCCATATTGAGGGAGTTGTTCATGGAGCACTGAGGGTATCAGGATTGGCACTGGTCTTGCAGTCAGGACGGGGCGCCCCTGGCTGGAGCCTACTCGCCCCAGTGTCCTACCCATACCAGTGGCCTCCATAGAATCCCTGAGATGCTTCTTGGTCACAGAGGTTCCACTCCTCATCCCATTCTAAGGCAAGATCACCTAGCAGGTCTGTGGCAGTGACCACCACAGGCCCAGGCACCATTGAAACTTCCCCTCACAGAGCCTCCAGAGTATGCTTCTTGGGGCAAGGACTGTCTTTTCTGTTTATACAGTGCCTCGCAAAGTGGGATCCTGGTCCATGACTAGGGCTCCTTGGTGCAACAGTAAAATAAATACATCATTTTTTTCCTTGTAAAAATTCCTGTTGGCTGTTTAAAATTATGTAATTCAGCAACATTTTGGACTATCTCTTCCAGAGTATGCTCAGGTGATCAAGATGTTGGGCAATGGAAGATTGGAGGCATTATGTTTTGATGGTGTGAAGAGGTTATGTCATATCAGAGGGAAGCTAAGAAAAAAGGTAAGTCTAAATCACTTACATGGAAAATAAATGAATACATACCAAGCAGAACAGGCAATCTTCTGAAAATTGATATGGCTACACATACTCTAAATAAAGGGACACTTTAAAAATTTCCTTAATTATGGTACTAGCAACTTTAGATTATTAAAATTGAAAGAATTTTAAAACTCATATTTAGTTTTGTTCAGATAATTAGCTACTTGTACTTCTCTTGGCAAGGGCAATGAAGGAAGTTTAAATCTTGCCCGTAGTCACACTAACTTTCAGGTTCTTGGGGATGCAGATGTTTCAGGAGAGGTTTTTGCTTGTTTAAAAACTGTCAGTTTTGTATTTTACAGAAACATTTCTGTTGGACTTGGGTTTTATAAAACTCTATACAAACTCTAAATTTTGGCTTGAGTTTAAGCCTACAGGGTCAGAGTAGATTGGTGGATAGCATGATGGTAATTAAAATTGAGACCAGCTTACTGTAAAAATCTTCATGCTTACTTGGATAGACTTGCAAATTGCTGTTCCTCAAGAGGATAGGTTTAGTGGTCCAAATTTGAGGTAATTGAACAAAGGTTCACAAGATACAGTCCCCCAGAAATCACATGTGCAACAGGACAAAGGCTCTGTTGCATACCTGATTGTTTTACAGGTAGCCTGGCATCAGAATAACAGGAGTGGCTCAAGGTGACATGCTGTGGCCATTTAAGCCAAGCAAACAGCATTGTCAGCTTTCTGACAACATATGTTGAGCACATTAGTTGCTCTTTGTTTACATTCTGCAGGTACTCCATCCGGCAAGTTTGCCCTGAAAGCAAAACTTCTTGTTTAAATTGATATTTCCAAATACTCTAAAATCACATGCATACTCTGATTTTACTTCAGAAATATTGTCAAGGAAAATAGCTTTAATTAAATAGAGGGACGACTATCAACTCTAGTAAGCAGAAACATTAAAGTGATAGAATCATGCTTCTCATTCTTTCCTGAGCAATGGAACTGAGTGTGATCAAAGAATAGCAAGTAGCTACCACGCTCATCAATGTCAGCATGGTCAAAGGTGTTGCTGAATTTCAGGAAATGCACCCATAATAGAGACACCCTGTTCTAAGCACTGGCATATGGTACACATTGACTACTGGGGAGCCAGGATGTTCTCATCAGTCAAAACACTATTTTAGGTTTATCATGAAAAATAAACACAGAAAACCTCTCCATTTTCTACCATAATTCTTCTAGTTTAGACAAACCAAAGGTTCAAACACATCATTTTTAGCCTTTTATTAACAATACAGAAAAGAAGGAAAAACAGTTAAAGTATTTGAAATGTGAACTATTGAGTAAGGCTTTCATTTTAACAGCGTCCCTTGCTTGTTTTCTCTTTAGCTGTAGAGTCTTTAGAAGGAAAACCCGCATTTGTCCATCTCTTAGGTGGTCTCAAAGATGGTAATAACTATCCTTTTGGGGGAAAAGAGGATAAGTCAGTTAAGATGGGCTAGAGATGCTGCTGCTGTTGTTGAAGTTTAATCTCAGAAAGAAAATCCCCCTAGTTGACCATCTTTGATGCTATCAAAGATGGTAATAACTGTCATCCCAGGCGTGCTTGGAATTCAGCTGGAGCCTGTAGGTATGACAATATCATCTGGGTCCCCCTCTCTCTCTCTCTGGCCAGTTCTAGTTAAGACACCTCTCAGGTTCAAGATGATGAAGGCCTGAGGTCCAATGAAACAGTTGGATTGGCATCTGATTGGTGAAGCTTGCTCTAGTAGCCTTTATCTGTTCTGTGTGTCTGTTCTTTTGTTCCTTCATACTTTCCCAACAAAATTTTTCATTTAAGGACCCAAGAAGGGAGTGATGGGTATAATAGTCTAACCCAGGGGTCAGCAACCTTTCAGAAGTGGTGTGCCGAGTCTTCATTTATTCACTCTAATTTAAGGTTTTGCATGCCAGTAATACATTTTAACGTTTTTAGAAGGTCTCTTTCTATAAGTCTATAATATATAACTAAACTATTGTTTTATGTAAAGTAAATAAGAATTTTAAAATGTTTAAGAAGTTTAATTTAAAATTAAATTAAAATGCAGAGCCCCCTGGACTGGTGGCCAGGACCCGGGCAGTGTGAGTGCCACTGAAAATCACCTCGCGTGCCACAGGTTACCTACACCTGGTCTAACCTGTCACTATTTTGTCCACCAACTAGGCCTAATATCTGACATACCAACTTTGGCTCATTATCCTCTGGTGTCATATCTCCTGTTTTTTAACAAGCATAATGTCAACACAGACCTTGAATCATATCAACTTGGCCTTTTCGTTTAGACTAATTCAGCTATTCGGTCTCCCTTTCGTACCTTTTCCCATCAACATTTGTTGTTATAAATTATTGTAACATCTTATAACCTTTTACATACTACTTACATTTGAGCTTACAATTCAAGTAAATTTGTAGGCCCAACAGTACACACTGCCCTGTAATCTGAACTCTGAATGATGGCCCAGCTTGACCCCACTAGCCATTATGGCACTGTGCTTCCAGATGATGTGGAGCAATGTGGGTGTCCCAGTTTTGGGGGTTAACTGTGCCTCTGCCCCATCCTTGGTCTGCTTAAGGGACGTCCCCTTAGGACTCAGGCCTCTGTCACCTCTCTATAGGCAGGCACCTGCATTCCCCTCCCTCCTTCCCAGGCTAGAATTCTTTCCCTTCACTGTGCGTATCCCAGCAGGTCTAAACTTAGCTTAGCACCTGCAGTTTCTCTCTCTCTCAAGTGCTACAACAGTGAAGACCCGTCAGCTTTTGCAAAGCAAAATACACTTATTTTTAGGACAAAAACATTAGAGAAAATATATCCTAAAACTTCTATACACATGTTAGGTTTACCAGAAGTCACCCGTCTTCCACATGGTAAACCTGATAGGTTTCAAAGTCCTTCAAACCCTTTCAGCAGGGTTTGCCCTCTTGGTTACAATCTATAAGTTGTCAGATCAAAAATGAGGGCTCCTCAGTCAGTTCAGGCTGGCCTTTGATACTTTTGGCTCATTCTTTGTCTCCTGGACTTCTTGAACCTGTTCTGAACCAGTATATGCTATTCACCTGAGGGATGGTACTTCTCTACAGTTTTCCTGTTCCAGGTCTACAGTAATTACCCCCACACCCACACACACACACCTCCCCTCTGATTTTAGTTCTTAGAGGGAGCTGGGTAACCTGCCAGTGTACAATTTCTGGCTCACAAAGATACAGTTAACGTTTATAATGTTGGAACAATAGTCTCAAAGATATTGTATATATCAGTAACACCTGTCACAGTATGGATACAGTGCGCATGGGTACACTAGGGTGAACTGTCAGACCATGTCCTCACCTTAGTGAACAGAAGCAGACTATGCCTGGCTTATACTCGACCCCTTCACCTTCTCTTCACAAACCACCAGATGCACCTCTTCTCATAATCTAATCTGTGCCAGCTGCAAGTAATCCCTGAATCAGTCACTACAGCTGTCACTAACATAGTGAAGAATAGTTGGAGTTCGTGCAGGCAGCTGAGAATATAGTTAATAAAATGGCACACTCACCAGTCTTTCCTCTTGCCTGTTTATTATAGGGTCGCACTGGCTGTGAAACATACTTGCAGTATATCCACAATGGTCCTAGTCATCTCTGGGTGGGGCATCTCTGTGTACCTTAACTCTGTATTTCCGGGTTTCTGAGGTTAAAGTTTAGGGGCATGAAACATTCTGGGCAGATCTAAGACACTTCTGGTCAATGCTATCTCTGCATTAACAAAGATTTTGGCCAGTGAATACAGCAGAGTTTTAGTGTTGATCAAATTGAGAATGTTTGTTTTGTAGTCTGAAATTGTTTAGTAAAATGCTGATTGCCAACCAACATGCTTATAAATAAAAGGCTTGAATCTTAGGTCAGCTTCATTTACACGCACTTTAAGGCCCCTTTTCACTACCAATGTGGTGTACAGTCTCCATAGCATAACTGGGACCCAAGCCCAAAATCTCTGAAATTTTTCTTCAAATATATTGTGATAATCGTATGAAGAAAGTAGTGCCATTTTCAGGCTGCTGATTTAAAGAAAACTTGCGTGGATTTTTTTAACAGGTGAATTAAGTAAAAATCCATACTGCATTTTAAATCAAGATATTTCTAGGCTCGGAAATGCAATCAGAACTTCAGGTTATGTTCTCAGTCAAGCTGGGGGGACTTGGAGTTGTGGTAACTTTCAGTTGTAGAAAAAGGCATCCCAGTACAATCCACTAAATTCATTGACACATTCTAAATATTAAAGTGTCTGTGTACTGACTGCTTTTGTAACTCCACTCTGTTCTCCAACTAATCTTAATCGTAGGACTGGAAGGGACCTTGAGAGGTCATCTAGTCCAGTCTCCTGCCCTAACAGCAGGACTAAGTATTACTTAGACCATCTCTGACAGGTGTTTATCTAACCTGCTCTTAAAAATCTCCAATAATGGAGATTCCACAGCCTCCCTAGGCAATTTATTCCAGTGTTTAACCATCCTGGCAGTTGTTTTTCCCAATATCCAACATAAACTGCCCTTGCTGCAATTTAAGCCCATTGCTTCTTGTCCTATCCTCAGAGGTTAACGAGAATAATTTTTCTTTCTCCTCCTTGTAACAACCTTTTATGTACTTGAAAACTGTTATCATGTCCCCTCTCAGTCTCCTCCTTTCCAGACTAAACAAACCCAATTTTTTCAATCTTCCCTCATAGGTCATGTTTTCTAGACCTTTAATTATTTTTATTGCTCTTTCTCAAATTTGTCCACATCTTTCCTGAAATGTGGCACCCAGAACAATACTCCAGTTGAGGCCTAATCAATGTGGCATAAGAATTACTTCTCATGTCTTGCTTACAACACTCCTGCTAATACATCCCCAAATGATGTTTGCCTTTTTTTGCAATGGTGTTACACTGTTGACTGACACTTAGCTTGTGATCCACTTTAACCCCCAGATCCCTTTCTGTGGTACTCCTTCGTAGGCAGTCATTTCCCATTTTGTATGTGTGCAACTGATTGTTCCGTCTTAAGTGGAATACTTTGCATTTGTCCTTGTTGAATTTCATCCTGTTTACTTCAGACCATTTCTCCAGTTTGTCCAGATCGTTTTGAATTTTATTCCTATCCTCCAAAGCACTTGCAACCCCTCCCAGCTTGGTATGGTCCACAAACTTTAGAAGTGGCATAACTCTGTGCCATTGTCTAAATAATTGATTAATATATTGAACAGAACTGGACCCAGAACTAATCCCTGCAGGACCTCACTCGATATGCCCTTCCAGCTTGATTGTGAACCACTGATAACTACTCTTTTTAAGAACAGTTTTCCAACCAGTTATGCACTTACGGTAATAGTAACTTACAGATCCCCTGGTTGCCAGCCAGGCTTGCAGAGGAAAGTTAAGTACAGTAAAAACCAAAAAAAAAAAAAAAAAAAAAAAAAAAAAAGAATGTACATTAACAGCAGAACATGTGATCAGTTGACTAAATTATCTTTCATTTCATTCACACATCTAGATAAAGACATAAAATCTAGTTCCCTGAGTCTTTTTTATGGTGTATGCTCTCTTTGGGAAAAAATCCATTTAAGCAAAAAGCCTAACAAGTCCTACCACACAGTCAAGTCTGTGTCTAATATCTGCCTCTGCAATAGATCTTATGAAGCTGTTTGGCTGATTTCTACATAGTCTGCATCCCTGTCTGTGTAAGTGATAGGAGATGCACCTTTCTCACTGAGGGTTCTCTCCCTGTTATGGTACAAAAAAGCCTCCCATTCACACCGTGGATTACAGCAGTGGCTCTCAACCGAGCAGGTTTCATGGGGGCTGCCGAGCAGGGCCAGCATTAGACTTGCTGGGGCCCAGGGCAGAAAGCCAATGCCCTGCCACAAGGGACTGAAGCCCAGGCCCTGAGCTCCACCTCCCGAGGCTAAAGCCAAAGTCTAAGCAATGTAGCTCTGCAGGGGCCGCTGTGGCATGAGGCCCTAGGCAATTGCCCTGCTTAGTACTCTGTAATGCCAACCCTGGCTTTTACATGCAGAAAACCAGTTATTATGATACAGGTGGGCTCTGGAGTTTTTATAGCATGTTGGGACAGGCCTCAGAAAGAAAAAGGTTGAGAACCCCTGCATTACAGGATGTCAGTAAGTATTTAGGATTCCAATAAACTTAATTCCTAAATATTTATTTAATGCAATATCATATTTATGCCAGTTACTACATTATTTATTTGAATTGCAGTAGTGCTTAGGGATCCCTGACTTGAAGCCCCTTACCATGCTAGGCACTGTACAAATGCTTAATGAATGGTCCCTGCCTCAAAGAGTTGAAATTTAAATCTAAGTATAAGGAAAGACTCTATTTTTCCCTATTGCAGAACAATGTAAACCATTGGAATAATGCACAGTGAATAGTTCAACATATTTTTAATCTTCATTTCTTTTAATGTGAATTCACGTCATCTTTGAAAAATGACCCGTTCATAGTATCTCTTTAATGAATAAAATAGTCCAACTTTTAGAAAATCACTTTAACCTAGTCACTCAACAGAAACAGTCCAGGTTAGATTTCTTGCATTTTCTCTTCTGCTTGGCTTCTTCCTCTCATTCACTTTACTGTGAAGTTTTACTTCTCTGCGCACAGACCCTTTGTGGAACTCGGTCAATAAAATGGTTAGACTTCCTTTGGCCTACCCAAATTTAATGGCTTAGTAGCCATCCATAGGGCTGGAGACGTCTAAATCACTTGATTTGCTGTGGTGATGGAGTTCTGTAACATGCTTGGTCAACTATTATCCCCACCAACAGTTAATTATGTAATGTAAAATTGAAACCAAGTGTTATGAAGTGGGGATGTCTTTGTTTTCTTGTTTAGGAAAAATAGTGTCTGCAGTTTGTTTTAATATTTTAGTAGATCCACAAGTATAGTGTTTGAACTTATTGCTGTTAAATTCCAGATGGACAAATGTGGATTTGTAGAGGTTTTTTTAATAAGTGTTCCTTGTTTCTGACTTTCAGGTTTGGATAAATACATCAGATATTATATTGGTTGGCTTAAGAGACTACCAGGTAAATATTCTTCTTGATTTAGCACTTATATGTATTATAGTAAATAGCATGGCTTATGACTTAACTGGCACTAAAAGTCTGCTAGAGAGCATTGTGCAAATAATTTCTGTTTAACTGGCACTTACTATGTGTTTAACTGTATCACGTTAAATATGTTTCATATTTGATTATTTTTATATTTGTAATACAAGGCAAATTCCATCATGGGTAAATGGACCAGTTTTCATCCAAATTGCCCCTTTAGACCATGTGTGTGCGGAAAATGCCCTATGGCATCAGAATGCCTCTGACTTTTTCAGAAATGGCTGCTTGGTGAGCTGCTCCTGTGCATTTCACTGGCAAATGGAGCAAAGTGCTGCTCCAGTAGTCTGGTAGGATGCCAGCCGTCACAGTTCAATGTAACTGCACCTGTATTTCTCCCTTTGTGGTCCAGCAAGGGCTGCCTCTGTTAGGCTTCTGGCTGCTTTCCCTCACTCTCTTGGGTGGAGACCTGGCCCTCACTCCCCTGACTACAGTGTGATATTTCCAGCAAGCCAGACTGCCTAAACAGGCCCCAGAGTTTTGTTTTAAGTTCATAATAGCTTTAGCTCAAAAGAAGCACACACGGATAGTCTTTCCTTTACACATCTTGAGCCTTTACTCTTCAGATTCTGGGAACAAGAACTCAGTAGACAATAACAACAAGGAGTCTGGTGGCACCTTAAAGACTAACAGATTTATTTGGGCATAAGCTTTCGTGGGTAAAAACCTCACTTCTTCAGATGCATAGCCAGTAGACAATGGTCCCCTCAGGGTGTAGCTTCAAAAGGCTGGGCTTTTTCATAACCAGAGATGAGAATTTGCTTTCACTTCCCCATGGAGATTCCCCAGGCAAACCACTTGACATTGTTTGGCCTAAAGTCCATTCTTGTGTGGCCCATTGTTCAGTATAGTTCTTTGAAGTTCATAACACTTCCAGGGCTCACAATAATACATAACCTTTACATTTAATACAATGGACTCCAAAGATGCTTAAATTTAATTCATTAAGGTTTGTCAAGGATATTGCAGAAAATTGCCATGTCTGTCACACCAGCCATTTCACTCAGATAAATGTATTCTTTGAGCCCTTTGCTGTTCGAAGAATCCTGCCTTAATCTGTCACTGAATCCAGAGACTACATTAGTTTTTTCTTTAAAATGTGTGGCTCTAATAGTTTCCTATAGTAACTATATGTTGAGTCCAGTGAATGGCAATTGTACTGGATTTTTAATGGGCTGTTTTCATAATAAATATACGTGCAGTGTGATACCTTCAATTATTGGAATGTGAATTTCGTTGCTAATGGAATTATGAAGAGAATTCTATTTCTTCAGAATAGACTTTCAACAAATTAACAACCCATTAAGAAATATTTTATTACACAGCTGCATAGATTAAAATTTAGACTGCTAATGCTAGCTAAAGCTTTAGTTTGTGATATATGACAGATGTAGATGTACCTTGAAAAAGAATAGTTTAGAATGCTTAACAAAAAAGGACTTCAGGGAGGGAAGACTTATAATATTCTGTGTAGGTTTACCTCTTTCACTTGTAGTGGCAAATTGAAGAATAGTTGAGAACTAAGGATTTTGGGGGTGATTTCAGGACATAAGAATTGAAAAAGATTCAACTGTCCAACTAACAGACACCTTGCTAGCCTGTCATTTTTAGGAAGTGGAAACCTTTCTACAATGCTGACTAATGCAGTCAAATGTTCTCTTACTTAGGATAACAAGGCGGATGTCATTCTAAAATACAATGCAGATGAAGCCAGAAGTCTGAAGGCATATGGGGAACTTCCAGAACACGGTAAGAATCTTTCAAGATCAGATTGGAAGTCAGTAGCCCACAGTGAATTGTCAGTTTTTAATGTGTGAATTAACTTTTTTAAAACTCTCTGTTTAGCTAAAATCAATGAAACAGACACATTTGGTCCTGGTGATGATGATGAAATCCAGTTTGATGATATTGGAGATGATGATGAGGACATTGATGATGTAAGTAATAAGAATACTACATGGGGGCGGGGGGGGGATAGCTCAGTGGTTTGAGCATTGGCCTACTAAACCCAGGGTTATGAGTTCAGTCCTTGAGGGGGCCACTTAAGGATCTGGGGCAAAATCAGTACTTAGTCCTGCTAGTGAAGGCAGGGGGCTGGACTCGATGACCTTTCAAGGTCCCTTCCAGTTCTAGGAGATAGGATATCTCCATTAATTTATTTATTATTTATTTATTTGAAGCATCAACTCTTGATAATACTGCTTTGTTTACTACTTAATTTAGGTAGCATAACGTATTAAAGCTTTGAAGCCTTTAACCGGGCTAGATGATATTTCTCGAAGGCTGTCCAGTGACTAAGTGAAATTGGTCAAAAATCCTGTCCTTTGGAGTTATGGCACTTCTTGCAGACCTCTGCATAGTCATAGATCAAAGATTTGTAGGATGTCATACAGTGAATATTGCTTCAGTTTTTAATAACAGAATTTCATACCTGTCAAAGTTTGATCTTTAACACTGTTTATGGGAGCTAGAAATAAATTATCACATTATGGTTGCAGGAATGTAGTCAACCTCAGCAGTCACTACAGAATAATCAAGTTAATGTGACAATTTCAGAGCTCTAGTGCAGTGGTTCTCAAACTTTTTTCATTTGCGAAACCCTAAAATATTTCAAATGGAGGTGGGGGACCCCTTTGGCAATCTTTGATGTAGTCAGCGGACCCCAGGATGAAAACCACTGCTCTAGTGGACAAGTCACCCTCAAAATGAACAATGACTCAGAATCCCATCCTCTGATTCCTCAGGCAAATTCTGAAAACAGTGTGCTATATCTTATGAACATGGAATTTTAAGTGGGGGAAAATATATTCTAAAGTGCAGCTGAGACTGTTTATTAATCATTTATATAGTATAAGATGACACAATACTGTAAATTAGGTGTATCAGGCAGATAGCAAGATTTCTGCCCAAAGGATAAGAGGGCAGAATAAAACAGCATGAAGAAACACTCTGAAGTGTTAGCATGCTTGCAGTTTCTTTTTAATCCAGTTAGACTCTTGAGTAAAATGATCTCAAATTCACAGTTAGTGTGAAAAAGTTGTAATTTGTATGCTGGAGCATTTTTGTAGTAGGAAGATTTAAACAGGAACCAGTTCATTTTGCCAGTGACTTCTTAAACTATGTTTGTGTTTTGATTTGGAACTTTACCTCACAGCTCGGATTATTTTTCTTTTTGCTTCTTCAGGAAAATCATAGCCCTGCCTATTTGTATTTTACTGTTTATTCATTGAGATGATTTTACATTGAACATTAACTTCCCTAGAGGAGATGAGTTGGGAGGGAAGGGGTAAATGATTACGTACTCATTTAAAAAAAATGGCAAAGGAAACTGGGGGCAAAAAAAAATCGATTGTGAAATAAGTTGTGAATCTTCCGTTCTCTAAGATACATTATTAAGATACATCTTAAAGGTAGAATTGTTTGTTTGCTCACATGGTCAAAATTATCTTTCTCACTATGCTGTCTTTTTTCCCCACTTACAGATCTAAATTGAGCTAAGAGGTTTACATTCCAACTTTTTTCCTCCAAGGATTATTCTTCATTGATATATTGGGTAAAATACCTTTCTTTTAAGAAGATTGAAACATCAGTAATGAGTGTAGCTTGTTACATCAAATGAGAATTTATTTTCAGTGTTTGTTTTAAAGTATTTATATTTCTTTAGAAACAGATAATGCCACAACTATTTTGTCTTTTCACAAATTAGAGCTCTTACATCTGGATGGAAGTGAGACAGTAATATCTGCTGTAAAAGTCTGCATTTTTGCCTCTTATGCATTCATCACTACATTTCGAGTTAAACCTGTATTTTGAAATAAAATTGTTTACCCTGTAATTATCATGGATTTTGATTAAATACCCAGTTCAGATTAGTGTCCAATCATACTATGCAGTATCTTTCTGTATACCCTTGCCTTGAAATTAACTTGAAAAGATTTTGATAATCTAAAAGGAAGGCAGAAATCTGCATTCGAACTCCTAATGCATGGGTCTGCTTTTCATGTTTTAGTAGAATGCTGCTATTTTTATAATAGTTTTGATAATTAAGCACTCATTCTTTCAAAGATGTAAAGTTGCCACAATGGGAGAAAAGATAAATGTAAAAAGTAAGCAGCATCTCAAATTTGCAGTTGTTTAAAACTGTTACGTATGTTTGAATCGCTATTCTGTATTTGTAAATGCAGTATTATACTGTAGTTGCGGAAATTAAACACTGGGTGGCACCCAATTTAACGGACACATTGATACTAAACATTTACAGTTGTTTTTTATACTGAAACATGCATTAAATAGTTTTCCCTCAACAAAATAAATGACTAGCATTCTTGATGTGTTAAACATACGTAGAATATTTTTACATTATAGAAAGGTTATGTTAAAAGTAGAGTTTTATTTTAATCTTAAATTCCATACATTGTAAGGAACAACTTTGAAAAGGTTATGTAAACTTTGAATAACCGAATATAAATGAAAAATTAAATTAATGTCAAATTCTGCAAAATCTTTTTATCCAGAATTAACCAGTAAGACAAACCAATGGAAAGATTCTCTCCAGCTTCTGAATGGAAGAGTCATAGCTAAAAAGTTGAATAAAGACTAACATATTCCTGGAAATATTTTCATGTGCTAGCATTAGTTTGTGTGTCTTTTTAATGATGTATTTTGAGTTTAACAGTTGAAAGCAGAATGGGGCTCTGGAGAATTTAATTTTCATTCTGTGCTGTGTAAAATTGGTTTTTGACATTTTGTATTCATTATATGGTCTGATAGGCATGATATGAAGTGACTATAGCTTTAAAAATACAGATGGGTCTCATTGCTTTAAACAAGATTTTTTGGACACTGTTGAATATTCAAACAGACTCCCTTAGAGCATGTAGCAAAAATGTAACTTCCTACCTTTTCTCCCCAGTGTACAGTGTACTGTAGGTTTCCATTTTCCTTGTGTGGAGTTGGGAGTCACTACAGGGACTGAAAAATTTTCTTTAATATTCAGTATATTTGCAAAACTTATTTTATATATTTAAATAATTTATAAAGAATTTTACAATCCTGCTGACTTTTGAGAAAAGAGAATATATTTGCATTACCCATGCACACTTCCTGCTCCGTTGGTTTGTATCGGGTGTATTGACTTTTGTAGTCCTTTTATGCCTGAATTTCCAGCAATTCAGGATCTGATTTTTAATTAACAGTTTCATAGAGCATGTAGTGAGCAGGAATTCATAAACCATTTCCCCCCTTCTCCTTTATCTTTTCCCCTGAGTGCCCAAACGGGATACTGAACACCTCCTAACATGGTTGAGCTCTTAAAATTTAGCTAGAGGCATGGCACAGAAGGCTTTTACTACATTGGTCCTGTCTTTGCTTGTACTGTTTTTTCCTAATACCAACTACCTGTGAATTGGCTTGGTGTCACAACAGATAAAATGTGGGCATTGACTTTAGAATGCTAGAACTATCCATTGGAGAAGATTCAGTGGTGATGACTAAATCATCTTGCCTGTCCACTTACTGAAGGGACTGCTGTTAGGGAACCTGTATGTTTTGTTCAAATGTAAATTTATCATAATATATTGTGACTGAGGAATGAGCCAAATTTTATACTGATTATCTTCATTTGTTGCAGGGAACTTTATTCATCATACAAAAGTCCACCAATCTATTACCATCTGTATTTCAGCTTGGGAGCAGAACTGGACCTGTCAGTCACTGGTAGCTGGCGAATGCCCTGCTCCCTGAAGTTCTGCCTGTTCTTATGTGCACCCACAGTGGCAGATGGCACAGCCAGACCTCCCTGCTGCAGAGCTTTTCTGAGGGAAAATTCCCAACTTCATTTCAAATTTCTGAGTACTGTTTTGGCTCAGCAAATTGGCTGTGTGATTCCGGTCTCTGTTCTAGGGCTTCATTTGCATTTTAGGGAGATTATCCCCTCAGCTTTGTTTCTCCATCTTAAGCATTTGCAGTGTTTTGGTGCATTTTCAGAGACTGAGCAAGGCTGAGAAAAGCCAGAGGCAAAAGGAAGGGTCTGTTCTTCACCCGTTTAGTGTCTGATTGTGGAGCTTGACTGGCTTTATGGGCAGGGTGCAGTCTCTTTCTCTCTCAGCCAGTCCAAGCAGGGTTGCTTTAGCCCCCCACTCCTGAGCAGGATTGGAAAAATGGGGGCAAGCAGTTCCTGCTCTCATCTTGATGCCAGAAGGACAGCTTGCTAGATGGAAGATGGAGTTCATACCACCTTTTAACTGTTGAGCTCAGTCACATCCTCACTCTCCCTTCAGTGTAGATGGTGGAGGATAGTGGACTCAGCACAGATACTGCTGATGGCAGTGTGTGCAGTAAGGAGTCATTGGACCCAGCTCTTTCCTACTGCCACAATCTCTACAACAAGCCTTTTAAAGGATCTCTATTGATATCCCAGGCTGAGGTCTACAGGGGAATTGCAGGCCCATCTGGATCTCATGCAGTAGAAAGGATAGAGATGAGCTGTCCATCCTCGAACCCTAGGCCACCAGTACCTGCCTTGAAAGCCTAAAGACTTAGAAGAGGCTCATATGGGGGAGGAAGGGACAATAAATCTGACCACTTTGAGGAGAGGGAGATCGTTAACCACTTGAAATACTATTGGAGCAATCTCTGGGACCAGTTTTGCTCCCTTTAAATAAAATCAGCAACTAGTTCCCCTGCTCACCTTCAACGTGTACAGTATGGTAGATCAGTGCAGAAGAGACCAAGCCATAGCCGTGTGGTAATTCCTGTGGCTCTGTATGCCTATTGGGTGTAGTGAACGATCTTTAATCAATCCCATGTGTGCTTTTAATGATCCAGCAGTCATATGAGACCTATCCAGTAATTCAGGTTATCCCCTCCACCTCTTTATCACATCCATTGACATCCTATGTCAACTGAATGCAGAAGCAGGGTTTTGTTTTAAGAGCTCCACCTATTATTGAATTAGGCAGAGTGATCCTAGCTCTGATGCCAGCTGGGTTTAATAGAGAGATTCATTCGTCTCTTAATTCAAACCAGGGAATAGATTCTAGATACAGGCACACCACCTGCAGGAACCAATGAATCAGTGAAGTCTATGGAGCATCTTTCCTTCTCTGGATCAAACTTGTTTTGGTTCTAGCCATCAGTGTGTTTGACAGCTGTTTTCCTAAAAATAAGAACATGATCACCTGAGCCAAGAGTGAAAATCAACTTCTCTAGTCCTGGGCAGAGCAGAGTTTCCCTCTGTATGTGTACTGCCCATCAAGGGGGAGATGGATACCAAGGCTTACATGTCAGAAGTTCCCCCCGCTCATCTTAGCATAGAATGTGCATCCAGAAATATTTTCATTCATTGTAAGTCACTGTGACGGTGGTTGGCCTTTTTTGTGTCTAGAAAGCAGTCTCCTCTCCATGTATTGGACCCAGAATGTGAGGTGGTGAACAACCTCTTTCAAAGCATGACAGTGTCTGCGCTGTATATCTTCCTACCTTTTCCATTTCCCTAGAACCATACAAAAGATAGGAAGGAGAAGCAGCCGTGATACTATTTATGCCTTTCTAACTAAAGAAGCTGTGGCTTTCTGGCCTAACGTAGCATTGAGCCATCTGATGTGTCTGTCTCAGAGGACGTCTGCTACTGCAAAAACCTAATCCTCCACTTGGAATCAGACAGGTTCAGAATGGATGCTTGGATAAAGTTCATGGACCTGAAAAGAAGTAAACAAATAGAACTTGGACTTTGCTCCAGCCAAGAGACTATCGTTTAACCAAGTGAAACACAGCCCTGAGTTCCTGCAAGAGGGTTTTAAGCAGGTGTATAAGTATGAGCAAAAGGTCTAGTTCTTGTAGTATAATATTCTCAGTAGGTTCAAGAAAAAAGTTTTGCACAAATCCCAACATTAAATGCCTTCTTAGGACAACACCCTTTTTTCCAGCCTCTCAAGATCAGAGAGCATAACTTTAGACCCTCATTCTGCTCCTTACAGTGCTACCTGGACTGAGCCCCTGCAGGAGCTGCTGTTATATTTCCTGTGCCTGAAAGGGCGTCCTGCTAGCTACTATGTCCAATCAGCTGACTTGAAGTTTGGAGCTTTCTCACATAAGAACCAATATTGTGCTCTTAATGCAAGGATGGAGCCCTCATAAGTGGCATTGCCCTCCTTCCAAAAATAAAGAAATATTCTTGCTTCTGTTAAGCATGAAAGTCCAGTCTGTAGGAGCATTGACAATCTCTGAGAAGTCATGACTCCTGTTTTGAGGTCTGTTAAGCCAAGTTGCAGTAATTGTCTTGTCTCATTAGAAGCTCATAAGAAGGCATTCAGGCAAAAAAAACAGAAAAATTCTGTAATTGTTATCTACACCAGGCAGTAAAATGTCTCTTCCACTCACCAAGTGTGAGGCCTGTCCCTGCTACTGCTTTTAGGCACTATTAACTAAGCGAAGCAAATAATCTTAACTATATTGACACGTCATTACAGGCCCCATCTATTAAAGAAATTAGTGTTTGTGCACAGTTGTTAAAAATCTGTTACAACCACATGGAGTTCTAATGCACTTGCACTGGCCAGTAGAACCAGGACAACCATATTAGTCATGCTTTCTGGTGCTTTTATCTCAGAGTGAGTTTTTTATTTGTTAGCCACATCCGCACCAACCAGCCAACTTGCATTAAAACCTCATTGTGTCTCAACAGAACTTCGTGCTGCAGTGAAGACCGAGTTGGGCAATCACAAGTTAGTCATCTCATTTTTGTCTAACTCATTAGTGTGTGACCCTGCTGCAGAACAGCAATTGAGTTCTTCACACTTATTGTCATGCCACATATCCAGCCATGAGAAACTCAGAAATTTCTGGGTGCACATTACATTGTTTGTAGTGTCATA